AAAAAAAAAGGGCATTGCCTGTGGCTCAGTGAGTAGGGCGCTATATACCGAGGGTTGCGGGTTCAAACCCAGCCCCAGCCAAACTGCTGGGCGCCTGTGGTCCCAGTTACTCAGGAGGCTGAGGCAAGAGAATTGCCTAAGCCCAAGTGCTGGAGCTTGCTGTGAGCTGTGACACCACCGCACTCTACTGAGGGCAACAGAGTGAGACTATCTCTTAAAAAAAAGTTTTTATATTTTGCCAGGGTTCAAAAGTGGTAAGCAGTAGAGAATCATGGTAAGTTTGGCTGGTCCTAGTACGGGGTAGACACCCACCCAACAAAGCTGTCCCCCTGCCACACACTCAGTTACCTACCTTTCTCATTGACCTCTGCTGTCCAGTGGATGTCCGAGTCATGTGTGAGCTGAGCCTGGAAAGGGGAAGTGTGGGGGGACAGGTCCTTGTCTGTGATGTTCAGTACTTGAGGCACAGGGCTTTGGTTGCAGATGGTGATGTGGCGGGGCTCTGGGACTGGGCCATGGTCATTGATGTCAATAAGTGTTAGCTGGAGGGTCCCTGTGCCCGTGGTGGGAGGAATCCCTGTTCACAATGACACAAGACCCCCTTTCAGCACCTGGCTGTGGTCAGGCTCGTGAATCAATGTTAAGCTTCCCATGACCCACTCCCTCAGCCCTGGGAGGCTTCTGTTTACCGCCCAGCTCTGATCTCTCAAGACCTTCCATGTGTTTGCTTTAAACACGTGGCAAGCTCTTGCCAATCAAACCATCATTCTCATTTTGGTCCAGAGTAGACATTATTAACTGACCACAGCAGTTATTGCTACTTCATCTAGACACAGCCACTATAGTCACATAGTAAAACCTACCGGTGCCCCCAAGGCTAGTCCAGTGACTGCCCCTCAGTTTCATAGCTCAATGAACCAAAAACTTAGGCTAAAGGGAATCTTCAGAACATCTCCTAAGTCTTGGGGTTTTTTTTTTTGGCTGGGGCTGGGTTTGAACCCACCACCTCCAGCATATGGGGCCGGTGCCCTACACCTTGAGCCACAGGTGCTGCCCTGGGTTTTAAGATAATCAGGATCATGGCAGTATTCCTAGGACTAGTCTTTAAAAGAATTTCCTGAAAGACCCCTCTGACTCTCAGGATAGTTTTATAGACACCCCCTCCCCAACACCACCCTCTGCACAGAGGGGACATCTTGCATCATGTGATCTGGGAACCAAAGTAGCCTCTCTGAAGCTCTTACCATTGTCTGTGGCCAAAACTATGACTTCATATATGTTATCCCTCACAAACTGCTCATTCTCGCGGTCCAAGATGCCCACAGCAGTGACCTGCCCGCTGTCTGGGTCCATGGCTAGCCACCCTGCTGGGTCTCTCAGGATATGGTAGCTGGAGAGGAAAAGTTGAGAAATGTCACACCCAGAATACTTGGAATTCTAGTGTCATCATCCAAGGTCTTCTCATACCGACTGGCAGATGGACTCTGGGCTTCTAAGCAGGATCATATGGAAATTGCATCTCATCTGTAAATGGGAGCCCAAAACAGCAGTGGGGGGTCCCAGCAGAGATATGTGAGGAAATAACCACACCCTGAACTCCTCCCTACTCAGTTTTTAGCCTCAACAAGGGTAGGAAGAAGAGGCCCTATGTACAGGTGATGTTCAAAATATTTAACCATTGGCCAGGCATGATGACTCACACCTATAATCCCAGCACTACGGGAGCTGAGGCGAGAGGATGACTCAAAGCCAGGAGTTTGAGGACAGCCTGGGCAACATAGCAAGAATGTGTCTGTATAAAAACTTTCAAAAAAATCATGTCCGTAGTCCCAGATATTTGGGAGGCTGAGGCAGGAGGATTTCTTGAGCCTAGGAGCTCTCGGTTACAGTGAGCTATGACGGCTTCATTGCACTCCAACCTGGGCAACAGAGCAAGACCCTGTCTCAAAAAACCAAGATATTGGCTCTGCGCTTCTGGTTAAGGCGCCAGCCACATACACAGAGGCTGGCAGGTTAGAACCTGGCCCAGGCCAGCTAAACAACAATGATGACTGCAAAAAAAAAAAAAAAAATAGCAACAACAACAAAAAAAAGCTAGGTGTTGTGGCAGGCACCTGTAGTCCCAGTTACATGGGAGGCTGAGGCAAGAGAATCGCTTAAGCCCAAGAGTTGACGGTTGCTCTGAGCTGTGACACCATGGTAACACCCAGGGCAAAATAGTGAGATTCTGTCTCCAAAAAAAGAAAAACAAAAAACAAAACCAAGATATTTAAACCATCTTTCTGGTTATTAGAACAAAGGCTGACCATAATAAGGAACCCATCCAACCACAGCAGTGCGTCTGGCTGGCTGAGCAGGCTCGAGTGAGTACCTGATCTTCTGATTCTCTTTGTCAGGGTCTCGCGCGGTATAGATGCACACAGGTTCCCCAGCAGAAATGCCTTCCTGGACCTCGATGACTTTGGAGGGTGGGACAAACACGGGTGCCTCATTCACATCCTCCACGTGGACCACTACAGTGGCCGTGGAGGTTGGGAGCTTCACCACAAAGGGAACCTCATTGGTCACTTCCACATACAGGGTGTGTTGGGTTTTGGCCTCAAAATCCAAGCCCTAGGAGAAGAGGGAGGAGAACTTGAACCATTTTGAGAGAAGTACAGTGATGGTCAGAGGAAAGACCTAATATTGGGGGCCCCAAGCAGCAACAGTGCTGCCCCCTCCCTGTCTCATAAAACCTCCTGCATTCCTTCAGTGGACACCTAAGAGGGCCTGAAGATCCCCCTAAAGGTAACTGGATTAGTAAGCCCTAGAACATTGGTTCCCAGGGGGATGGTGGCACCCCCCCCCAAGTGGTATTTTATTTTTATTTATTTATTGTTTTGGAGACAGAGCCTCAAGCTATCCCCCTGGGTAGAGTGCCGTGGCATCACAGTTCACAGCAACCTCCAACTCCTGGGCTCAAGCGAGTCTCCTGCCTCAGCCTTCCACTACAGGTGCCCACCACAACGCCCGGCTATTTTTTGGTTGCAGCCGTCCTTGCTGTTTTGGTGGGCCTGCGCTGGATTCGAACCTGCCATCTTAGGTGTATGTGGCTGGCACCTTAGCCACTTGAGCCACAGGCGCCGAACCCCAAGGGGTATTTTAGAAACCTATGGAGTTTATAGCTGTCATAATGCCCAGGGTCACCACTGGCATTTACAGGCTAGGGCAGGGATGCCATGTCCCACAGCATTACAGCCATGCAGAGCTGTCCCAGATCTTATGTGGCCTGCCAACAACCCCCTGGCCATTTCATACATCCATCGGTGTGAAAAACTTGTTTATAATTGGAATCTGGAATGTATTTTACACAAAAAATTTTTGGTGTGCGTTTAATATATATGGAATTTTCCAGGAATGTAACTTCTGAGCGGAGCTCATAATTAAATTTGTTCAGGATTTTCCCAAGAGTTGTTTATTCACTGCTCTGAAAAGACATCAATACTACTTGCAATATGAGTCACCAGGGTCTCACACAGTATCTATCCACTGCATCTGGATGATTCTACAGAGAGAGGCAGGTACTTCATTATATTTTTTAGGGTAGTGGTATCCAAAAGTTGACAAACCTAAAGATTTTAAATTCAGTAACTTTTCCCTATAAATTCTCTTTTATTTATAACATTCTATTTTCTTTTTCTATTTTTTTTTTTTTGGAGACAGAGTCTCACTATGTGGCCCTGGGTAGAGTGCTATGGCATCACAGCTCACAGCAACCTCTAACTCTTGGGCTTAAGCGATTCTCTTGCCTCAGCCGCCCAAGTAGCTGGGACTACAGGCGCCTGCCACAACACCTAGCTATTTTTTGGTTGTAGTTGTCATTGTTATTTGGCAGGCCAGGGCTGGAGTTGAACCCACCAGCTCTGCTGTATGTGGTTGGCGCCTTAGCCGCTTGAGCTACAGGTGCCGAGCCATAACATTCTATTTTCTGGAAATTATGAACGTGGTTTGTTATGTTAGAAATGATCCATTTTGTGATGTAAAAAGGGCATTACAAGGTAAAAAAGGGGAGACTGAATCTGAAACAGTCTTTAAAGCATTATATAAAATCCTGCTTCTCAAATGAGGCCATGCTTCAGGCCCATCCATCTTCTTTTTTTTCCCCCTGTTTTGGGAGAAGGTCTCACTCTGTCACCTAGGCTGGAGTGCATAGTGGTGCCATCCTAGCTCACTGTGGCTTCCAGTTCCTGGCTGACCCTGTAACAGCCCTTGTCTAAAGCCCAAACTGCCTCACCTTTCTGGTGGTCAGGATGCCCTGGTTGCTCTCAGGGTCAGTGGTGATAGTAAAATAGTTGTTGTCATCACCTCCCACGACGTGGTAGGTGGCACACCATGCAGATGAGTTGGGGGCATCCAGATCGGTCACTGTCAGCCTCTGCACCTCGTGGCCCACTGCATTCTCAGGCACACGGGCCTCGTACTGTCAGTGTGGGAAGAATAGCACAATGAGAGCAGAGAACGACCATCCTCAGAGGCTGTTCCTCTCTCCAGCATCTGGGAATCCTCCATCCAATTTCAGGGGAGCCCCATGTCCTATACCCTTTTCCTGGACCACCAACACTCTTAGCAGGTTTTTAGGGCACACACAAGTACAGAATGTCCCTGCGCATCAGCCCCCCCCACCCCCACCCCCCATGATCTTGGGCCAGCTTTCCTTACACAAAGGGGCCTGACTCAGTACTCTCACTGGTCTGGGTGCCCAAGCCCCTGCCACATCCAGCTACCTGTCTAGCTAAGATCAGAAAGGCTAAGATGGGGACAAGAAGGGCTAGGTGCCTGACTGCACTGGGCCACAGACCAGGAACATTCCTGAGATTCTGGGACAGGAGGCAAAGACAGAAATCAGTTGCTCAAAGCAAAATTATAATTAGGGCTAAATGTGCTCAACAGCCAGAAATGTCTAAAGATGGAAGGAGGGGAGTGCTTTTAATATATACTGAATTTTCTAGGAATGCAACTTCTTGATTAGCACCGAGTCCTCTGCCACTAGGAACATACAGGCATTCACTGGGAGAAGGCAGGCAGGTGTAGGTGTGAGGCAAATGAAGTTTTCACATCAATAAATATTTTCATATCAAGCACTTACTGTACATTGTGTTAAAATGTACAAAGCTTATTTATTTAAAACTCAGAACAATGCAGCAGTCATTACTGTTATCTACTTTTCAGACTGGGAAATGGGGCACAGAGAGGTTAGGTAGTTTACCTAGAGGCACACAGCTAGCAAGCGGTAAGATGGGGACTGGAGGCAATGCAGGCAGCTTCCAGAGTTTCAAGAGAAAGGAAGAACCTTAGTTCTTCCTCATTATATGAGAGCAGAAGGAAGGAAGGGGCATTACCTTCTGGGGGTCAAACACGGGAGCATTGTCATTGGCATCGAGGATTTCCACCACTGCCACTGCCGTGGTGGTGGAGCCATCCCCATCCATGTCTGTAGCCTGGATGGTCAATGTGTACTCGGGGACTTTCTGGGGAGAAAGGGAAGAGAGGAATGGCCACTGTGAGTTCTGAGGCTGGGCTCTAGGAAGTACAGTCTCCAGAGGGTGTGGACTGGAGGGTGCTTCTCCCTCTCACAATGTTCTCTCGACTCCCTGGCCCACCCCTACCAATTGACAGAACAGAAGCAGAGGGTGGAGCTGGGGGAGGGAACTTCAGGTCCAGACAGTTCTCCTGGGCCTGTCCTCGGGAAACCTGGGCATTGTCCCCAAGCTTTGGCTGCTTCAGAACAAAAGCTTCGAGTGAAGATTTAGGCAAAGGTATTAATTAGGAAACAGGCGGCAATTCCAATATTCATGGAGCTAATTCTACTTTGCAGCACACCAGGGACAGATCTGGGCAATGTGCACACTAAGTGAGCCATTCCAAGAGGAAATGAGAAAACCTCCAGAAAACATCGGAAGTCTGCGCTTCGCAGCTGCCTCCTCAGCCTGGGAGGAGATGGAATGAGATTGCCTGGCGGCTTCTGGGATGTCAGCTTGTGAACACACAGCAGCTGGCCCAGCCGACCTGGGTCCCTACTGCTCTGCCTGGGCTTTGGGGGCAGGGATAGGAGCGTCTGTTCCAAGTCAGGCCCCAGCCTGGATAGGTACCACTTTCCCTGAGGGGCACTCACCTCCCGGTCCAGGCCACTGGAGACGACACTGATGGTGCCTGTGCTCCGGTGGACAGTGAACATGAGTTCATGTGGCTCCTTCGGTTCTTGGCTATGGATGGAATAAGCAACCACCCCATTGTAGGTATTGATGGCGTCATCCTCGTCTGTGGCTGTCACCTGCATCACAGAAGTACCTAGAGAGAAGGGACAAGTGAGTAGCTGTCCCTTGTAGCCCCAGTTCCAGCCTTGTTTACTGCTGGAGCTCTCAGAGGCTCCTGCCTGCCTGTCAGTTTGGATCGATCTAATTTGGGGCAGAGATTGCCAGGGGGTACTTGTTTTTTATCCTTCCCTTCTTCCTTAGAAACATGATCTTCATTTTAGGCTTGCCACAGGCCCACCTAGGACAAGGACTATTTCCCACCCACCCCTTTTTTTCTCTTTTTTTTTGCAGTTTTTTTGGCTGGGGCTGGGTTTGAACCCACCACCTCCGGCATATGGGGCCGGCACCCTACTCCTTTGAGCCACAGGAGTTGCCTCCCCCCTTTTTTTTCTTGAGACAGAGTCTCACTGTCATCCTGGGTAGAGTGCCATGGCGTTATCATAGCTCACAGCAACTCCAAACTCTTGGGCTCAGTGATCTGCATGTCTGAGCCTCTCAAGTAGCTGGGACTATAGGCGTCTGCCATAATGCTTGGCTATTTTTAGAGATGGGGTCTTGCTCTTGCTCAGGCTTGCCTCAAAGGAGGGCCTCAAAGCCCTCAGGCTGAGCTCAACCTGCCCCAGCCTCCTAGAGTGCTAGGATCAGAGGTGTGAGCCACTGTGCTCAGTCCGTCCCTCTTGCAGTTAGCTATAGCGATGAGAATAAATTCTGACAAATAAGATATATACAGCTTTGGGGAAAGTGATTTTTTTTTGCAGTTTTTGGCCGGGGCTGGGCTTGAACCTGCCACCTCTGGCATATGGGGCCGGCGCCCTACTCCTTTGAGCCACAGGTGCTGCCAGGGGAAAGTGCTTTTATAAGTGTGGTGTTTGTTCTTCCCACCCTTTGCCTCCTTCCAGATGCAATGGCAAGAGTTCCAGCAGCAACCACGAGGTAACCTTGGAAACAGAGGCCAAAATGGCAGAACAATAAGAAAGAAACCGAGGAACACTTTGAAGCACGACTTCAGCCGGGGTTGGCTACTTCTAAGCTTCGTGCACTATTTTTTATTTTGGTAATTTATTTCGGTAATTTCTGTTATTGCCTGACTAACAGGCAATGTTACCATCTCACATTGGTCACAAATGTGACCAAGTCACATTTCTTTGTAATTCTCCACAACTCAGAGAGGGAGGGGGATAACCCTCCCCAGTAGCACCTGTCTTTGGCAGGAGGTCATCAATATGTCCTCACTTCCCCTGTAGTAGTTTGCTGGCCCCTGCCACTCTCTCTCTCTCTCTCCATAAATGAGGTTCTAACACCTCCCAGCCTTCACTGCCCTGAAGAGCCACATGTCAGGTACTTTGTTTTACATGTATACTTGTTATTTCTAATCTTCACAATTCTTCAAGGTCAAATATATATATATATTTGAGACAGCATCTCACTATGTTGCCCTGAGTAGAGTGCTGTGGCATCACAGCTCACAGCAACCTCCAACTCTTGGGCTAAGCAATTCTCTTGCCTCAGCCTCCCAAGTAGCTGGGACTACAGGTGCCCACGACAACGCCTGGCTATTTTTTTTTTTTTTTTACTGTAGTTGTCGTTGTTTGGCAGGCCCAGGCTAGGTTTGAACCCACCAGCCCCAGTGTATGTGGCTGGCACCCTAGCTGCTGAGTTACTGGTGCCAAGCCAAGGTCAGTATTTTAGATGTTAGGACGAGTCTCAGAGGTCATAGCCAGTAAAGAGGCCAAGATTCAAATCTAGGTCCTTGCGAGTCCAAAGCTCACAGTTCCCAAACCTGGCTGATTATCTGGGGCTCAGGGAAATTCTCAAATATACAGATTCTAGAGCTCTACTCCAGGATGGCCCTTATTCAGGAATCTTAGCATGGAGTGAAGGAATCTGGATTTGTAAGACTGATGCCATGTAATCTGATGCACAGCCAAGAAAATCAGGTGTGATGCATCTGTTAATATTTAAGGATCTGGACTCAGCAGAGGGGCCCCCCTCAGAAGGGGCCCCCCCTAGAGCCCCTTCTCCAATTCTCTTACCTGGCAGCACCCCCTCTAAGACACTCCCTCTGAAGACATCCTGGGTGAACTTGGGCTTGTGGTCATTCTGGTCTGTCACGATGATGGAGATGTTCATGGGCTCCTCCACTGAAGCACCATTCTCTGACACAGCATGGCCAAAGAGCTGTGGGCACAGGGATCTGGGGTCAGCCTGGTGCCACCTCGGCCCCAGGCCCCTGCTGAGTGGATATTTACAGCACGTGCTAAAGGCTACTTGCCTCATACTTGGCGATCTTCTCCCGGTCCAGTGGCTTATTCAACAATAACCAGCCAGTCTCTTTCTCTATGGTGAAGACACCCTCAGGGGGACTGTCTGCCCCTGGCCCAGTGATGCTGTAGAAAATCTTGGTGCCTCTGTCCTTATTAGATTTGAGCTGGAAACAAAAGAAATGGCAGCTGACAGAGTGACAGATCTCATGATTGCAGCAAAGACTCCTCTGTGAAGTCATGTGGAGGGGCACTGCCTTATTAGAATTTGATCCCACAAGAGATTAGCTTTCCTCTGTAGGTCCCAGCACTTAGTAGCAAGAAAACTCCCTACAGCCGACGACGACTCCCAGGGAGAAGGAAGCCTTACCTGATTCAGCTTCTGGGGAAAGGGACCCTTGCCATTCTCAGACACAGATATTGGTGGGACCACCCATTCTCTCTTGCGTCTTTGTAAGATACGTTTGGATGGAAAGACCTCCAATGCCTTCCTTTCCTGTAAGGAGAGAAGACCCCTTAACCCAGATGTGCAAAGAGGTGGAACACACCCAAAGTCCTTTCATCTATAGGAGTCAAGGAAGAGGACAGAGACCTAGTCGGGCCTAGTGTAAAAGGAAATTTGGAAATAATCCAAGTCTTCACCTATAGTGGAGGACCCATGAAATATGCCATAGAGGCCATATGCCATAGAGGCCATATGCCATAGAGGATTACGTTCACACACGTAATCCTAGCACTCTGGAAGGCGGAGGTGGGTGGATCGCCTGAGCTCAGGAGTTTGAGACCAGCCTGAGCAAGAGCAAGACCCCATCCCTACTAAAAATAGAAAAAACTAGCTGGGTGTCGTACCCAGTACCTGTAGTCCCAGCTACTTGGGAGGCTGAGGCATGAGGATAGCTCAAGCCCATGAGTTTGAGACTGCTATGAGCTATGATGCCACGACACTCTACCCAGGGTGCCAGAGTGAAATTCTGTCTCACGAAAGAAAATAAAAAAGAAAGATACCACAGCACATCCACCCAGTGAAATACTGTACAGCTCTAAAACGGAGGAGGATGTCATATTTGGACTGACAGGAGATAATCTTTGATACAAACTGTTAAATGAACAGATCAAGACACAAAACAACTTAATATGGTTTAGTATGTTATTTAACAAACATTTACATAGCCTTTAATATGTGCCATGCACTGTTCAATCTTTTGCATAAAAGATAGGAACACATGGATATGTGCTCTTATTGCCTATGTATAGATGAAATCTGGGAGGATATAGAAGAAACTAGTAACAGTGGTATCTATGGAAAGGGGGCAGGCATTGTACTGATATATATTATTAAGTGCAAAAAGAAAGGTATAGATGACCAAAAACAAACAAACAAACAAGCAAACTGAAACCAGTATGTTAATTTTTACCTGAAAGAAATGAGGGACAGCCTGAGCAGGAGTGCTATACTAAATAGAAATAGAAAAAGTTAGCTGGGTGTTATGACATGTGCCTATAGTCCCAACTACTTGGGAGGCTGAGATAGGAGGATTGCTCGAGCCCAGGAGTTTGAGATTGCTGTGAGCTAGGCTGATGTCTATATAAAAAATATGCAACACGGC